AGCGAGATCATGTCCATGTCTGAATCCTCACGCTCCCTGAGCCCAAACTCCACCGACCCTGATACGCCTTCACCCACGGGCCAGCCTGGTATTCCAGGGGCCAAGGCAGGGAGCCGCATCCCCCAGCTCTCGTTGAAGAAGAGCCCCCTGGAGGAGGACAGCGGCTCCACAGGTGAAGACACTGACTCGGCTGGCAAAAAGAAGCACACCTTCAAGATCTTCAAGAAGCAAAAGAAGTAGCGAGCGCTGCAGACTGCTTAAAAGCTGGCAAAGCTTTTTCACCTTCCATCTGTAGTCCATTGTTATTATGGATGTCCTGATGTTTTTTTCCGTTTTCCACTGGTCATGTTATGGCAAGCAAATGCCTTTTCAAGGTTTTTGTAGGTACTCCTTGTAGGGACCTTTAAGAGCAGTCTTTGTGGGTTTTTGTGTGTGTTTTTTTTTGTTTGTTTTCTCTTTCTCTTCATTGCTTCACTTCATTTTTTTCTGAGAGGATTAAACTCTGGGGGGGTGTAAAAGCACTATTTATTCCCGCAGGAGGCAGTGCCAGCCCTTCTGAGGGATACTCCTTTCTGGCTAGACTTCTTGTTTTCTTGTATAATCTGTATCGGTTTGCATGTCTTCACCTTTGTTTGACTGAAATTCGAATGCTCTTTGATGTTTGCTTGGTTCCCCTATAGCTTAAACACAAAATGTCAGGTGTTTCATTTTTGCCAGTCCACTCTTTTGTCATTTAAGTTTAAAAAAAAAAAAACAAAAAAAAATGAAAGGACATTTTAAAGCAACTGTGAGATCAGTGTTAGTCAATGGAAAGGGGAATTGAAAAGGGCTGAAACCATACTTGTGAAACCCTCCTTGAATCTGTTGCACTACTGCTGAATGTTATTGAATTGGTTTTGCAGAAATCAAGAGTACATGCTGAAACACTCACATTGACACAGAACCTGCAAGTACCTCCAGGAGTTCAGGGATTTCTGGGATGTGGAAGGAATAACAAAAGACTTAGAAATCTTGGTCCATTCCAACTCATAAAACATAATGTGGCTTGTGGATATGCGCATGAAAAACGAACCAAAAGTCTTTTGGGACTGATTTTCCTCAACATGGACTTTAAATAAGGATTTTCAGCTGTCAGCCACCACTGACAATATCTGTGCTAAATTTGTATCCAAACCATGCCTTGTAGACTAAATACATAACCAATAAGTATCTTGCGCTTGCTGGCGGCAGAAGGTGATTGTAAAGAATACCAGCTCATAAATTTCTGGAAAAAAAAAAACATGTTTGAAGTGCCAAACCAAAGATTTTAAATTTCACGTAGTTCTCCAAGTGTCAGTTAAAATGTTGTCATAACTGTGGTGAATCCTGTCAGCTCCCAGAGCTCTAACCCCAGAGGAGAGTTGATTTTAATATGTGTAAAAGTTTACATGATTGGCGCAAATATCGTTCTAATTGAAATGGTGATTGTACACAAAATATTTTGGGGAAATATTTCAGGTTCTCAAGGGAGCTGATGATGACTATGTTAATGCTGCTGTTAAGATGTAAAATTCTGTGTGGGTCTTCATTACAATCTCAACCACCTGTTGGTCTTCATCGGCCTGTCTCTGAGGCAGCTTCAGGATAACTGGAAATGATTTTGATGCTAAATATTTGTCATAGTTTTTCACAGTTAAGCAATGTGATGAATTGAGGTTCTTTACTTAACTAAGATGTAGAAAGAAAGATTTGGGAAACAGAATTCAAATTGGAAACACTCTTATTCTCAATGGTTAAAGGGACATTCTGGACAAAATGGAAAATTTACCCATCACTACATCTGTTGTAAACATGCTAACTTGCCGCCTGCAGCAGAGAGAAAGAGGAAAATCCCTTTGCGACTTTTTTGTTGATAGCTGGTCGATGCAGAATGAAGGCAGATTGCTTACATCACTGCTAGAAAGCCGAACATCTTATTGCAGCCGTATGGCCTTGTAAATTGAGAGAATCATCAGATAAGGGATACAAGCTAAAACCTAAAGGTAGCAAGGTAGATAATTGGTTATCTAGCTACCTTAACTCAGTGTGGTTTCATTTCTCTGGCTTAAAGGGTAAACATTTGACTGTAGGGTCCATTTTGTGCTGAATAAAGATAGCATTGCTGTTTTTTTTTGTTTTTTTTTGCAATTATGTTGGTGGACTGAGGAAAGAGTTAAACTAATGCAGTTATTAGCCTTTAGACAGGGATAATCAGTTGCTGTATGAAGCCAATACAAATACACACTGGGCATTGTAGTAAGGGATCACTGATGAATGAAAACATGGAAACGAAACAATATGAAATCATGAATTCTGTCAAACCAATGAGGAAGAATGATATAATGCTAAGAGACAGTATATTGCATAATGTGACAAGTAACACGGTTTTAGGCCAGAATGCCCCTTTAATTTGTTAAAGAGAGATTATTACTATAGAAAGTTCATCACATGCTGGCTTGTCTAATGTCGGCACTCTCCAGAACACTGAGGGTGGGAAAAAGAACAAGCACACTTTTTAACAATGACAAACAGTGATGCAGGTTATTCTGCATTGACATGGAGAGGGTTGGCACTATGCATTTTTCCTGCAGTTCCCCATGTTTTTACAACTGCTGTCTTCACTTATTAGGGTCTCCCAATCCTGGACTAACCAAAGCAGCGTTGCACGAGACACCACCTCCTGTGCTGTGGACTCATTTCTGTTGTAGAAGATGGTGTGGGTGTAAAAAGTCTGCATTACAAATGTATATCGGTCAGTCTAAAACAGGTATGCGCTGTTGGTCAAAATTGTTGATGCGTCATTTGTACCTCTTTTGCACGACGAAGCTGTAAATGAACTTTGCTCTCAGTGAGTGAGTGTGTGTGTGTGTGTGTGCGCGTCTATCTGTCTGATTTCAGTAAACTGCACTTCATTGCGTTGATGCATGTTACCCTGCTGCAATACCAGTTCGCAGATTCGGGGAGGGGAGAAGCAGGAGCATTTTGGACTCTCTGTCCCACCCCAGCTATTTCCTACTTATGTCTCCCTTTGAGCTTCTATTTATGATTATATACATTTGTACAGAAAGAAATGGGGGAAAAAATTATTTTGCATCATCTGTAGTGTTCAAGACTGTAGTCTAAGTCTTCAAAATTTTATGGCACTCCTGCATGAAAAGCAATAAACGGTTTTAAAGGAAAGGTTAAACATTTCTTTTTGTTGAATGTGCAAAAAAGATGGTCCAGACAACATACAGTACTGCATAAACTTCATAGACCACCCTTATTTGATTATAGCCTACCATTATTTAATTTGTACTCAATGGCCTTCAGGTATAAGGTATTTGTTTTATGGAAGATATCTTTGAGGGGTTTAGATATAAGATAATCCATTTATGAGGAAGGAGAAAGTCAAGGCAAAATAAGGGAAACAGGAATTTCCAAGTTAAAAAAACATTTCAGAATTAATAGATACATATAAAAATGGGGTTCATAACAGCTGTGGAAGACGTGGCAGACTACAAAAACTGTCCTCATCAGATAAACAGAATTTAAAGCTTTCATATTTGAGAGAGAGGAGAAAATCAAGCTCCACTGTCAGAAAAATCTCACGGGTGTTTCTGTCCATCCTTCCAATGTGAGACAACTCAGTGCTGTAGGTCTGAAAGGATGTGCAGCTGTCACGAAGCCCTTACTGAGAAAGGAAAATAGAAAAGGGAAAAAATTGCAAATCAGACAAAGAAGCTGCTGATGTTCTCAGAACAATAGACTGAACACTCCAGAGTCCAAATCTCAACATCACTGAATGTGTTTGGGATTTTTTGGAATGTGACAAAAAGAAAACGCAACCAACTTCTTAGACTGAACTTTGGCAGTATGGAAAAGGCTTCCTGCAGATTTATTGAAAAACTAAATGAGATTTTCCCAAAAAGAACAAAAGCTGTAATGAAGACATGCTAAATACTGAGGGGTGAAAAAATTAGTACTGTGCAAAAGTTTTCGCCACCCAACATCATTAGAATTAAAAGGCTGTTTATTGGAGCAGTGAGCATTTATTTGCCCTAAAACAGGAATATTATAATAAATACAAACACCATTAATACAATGAGCAGTGATTTTATGTATGTAAATGTGTTCAGTGGACCATTTCCAAGCCTCTCCTCGATGAAACCATAATATTGTTTGTAGTTATTAAACAGTACCTGGTTTGGCTAATAAATGGTTCATTATGGTAAAGTGTGCTGGTGATGGATTTTGATAAATCCATTTGATGGCTGTGGATGTCCCTCTTTGAAACTAGCTCACAACACATCAACTACTTTTTTTCAAAATATTTTTTTTTGTTGCTTGTTATTTGTTTATTTGGACCTATTCTAATGATAAATGGTGTTTTTTACAAGCAAACACACTTATTGCAAAGCTAAATAGTTTCGAATAATGTGCCTTTGTGCCTAAGACTTTTACACAGTACTGTATATATTTAGAAGTTTCTGTGTAATTTGTCAAGTATTTTTTCTGCTCTTCTTTGCTAACACTGAAATATAAGTAACTTGTGCTCAATGGCCGTATTGACTCAAAATTAAATAACTTAACGGAGGCCCTAACTTTTCCACGCCATATGTACACTGAACACTATTTTTTCTACTGTATGAAACCTTGAAGAATGATGTTTGTGCAATTTATCAATGGCTGATTAATTAACAGGGAAGACATTAAAATGTGTGGGGTAAGCAATACTCCAGGACTTGGATCGGGAACTTGTGACAAAACTGAAGGGGATTGTATCTGATTGGGATGGGACATGACTGGGTAATGGCCCTGCTTTTGGGTTTTATGCATTCATTCACCAAGAGTTTCCTAGCCGTTTAAGACTGAGCTTAACTGGCAGGACAGTTTGCGTTTGCGGGTGGAGCTGCGAAATCTGTTTGCCCAGGTTTCGCCCTGTGTGAACCAAACAGGATATTCTTCCGTTTTATCAGCTAATACTGCACACCTACATTGAGATCAGTATTGTAGGTCAAACTGACTTGGTGAATTGTTGTAGAACATGGGTTAAAGCAGACATGGATGTGAAAGTACTGTTCAGGGCCAACTAGGTACTTAAATAATTCATATTTGCAGCTTTTATACTTAACCAGAAACTGTGTATTTGCTATTGGATATTTTATATTGGACTATTTCTCCTCTAAATATGGGACAATTCCAGTGGAACCGCTGTTGGCTGGGCCTTCAAGTCATTCTTTCCGTGAGTAGTCTCCTACAGCACATTAGTGAAACAGGACATTAAAGAAATAATTCGGTCTTTCAAATGCATCTTCTCTAGTTTACATTTTTCTTAAAGCAGTTTATTTTGTTTTGTTTAAACAGCACAAATATTACCCTCCCTTCCATGAGGAGACTGAATGAAACAACAATGTTACTTTTAAAAACTTTTAATATTCACTAGTACCACAATGCAATTATGTCCAACAGTTATGCTGTTATTTATGTGTTCTGATCATCAACAGAAGGTGTTCCATTATATATTTACCATGGAACTGTTTTACTGCTCCATGCTTGAATGTTGTGGCTGGTGATGTTTCATTCACCATCACATTGCACTATCCTCCCTCAGGTGCAGGAACATGGATAACTGAAGCTAGTATAGCTAGAATACTAGCTATTAAGTTAGAAGGTAAACAGTAATTTTATGCTAGCAATACGTTAGCAGTGTTATATGTGCTGTACAAGACTACTTTGAACCCAAAACTGCATGTAGCTCTATATTTTTCTATGAAGTAGTATCTGTGCTGCATCACTATGGGGGAAAAAATAAGGTTTTAGCTGTACACCCAAAGATACCATGGATGGATGCCATAGTAAAACCACTTTTGGTTCCCTAAGGAAACTTTTAATGGATGATTCCTTAAAGACCCTTTTGCATGAGATGCAAGAGCGTGCAGAACCTTAAAGAAAAAAAAAACTGCACATAAGTTCAATACCTGTTACAGTACTGTTTAAAAGATTGGAATCATTCGTCATTAATAATTGCTTTTATTTTTTTACTAGTAACTTATACAGTGTAGACTGAAATGCTAGACACCAGAAGATATTTAACAATGTTTTATTCAAAATTTTAGAGATGTTTTTGGTGACACTTTATTTTGAGTGGTCCTTTTAGATGAAACAAACACTCAATGGACTCTTGATTGCATGATCAATAATATACTGTAATTATTTATAGCCATTTGTGCTGCATAACTTATCTGCCTTGAGATTGAATCACCTCTTAATTAAGACATTTTAGATTCTACTTTTATTAAAACTTAATTTATATTTACATTTACAGCATTCGACTTACAAAGAGTCTACCTAGAGAAAATATCTTTGCTAGTTACAAATAGGTTAGAGAGAAAATTAGTCCTGTGCTCAGATATTGCTTGAAACAAAAGCCCATGTTGATACCTATAGAAAAAGGAACAGAATTAAAATTAGCACAGAGCAATACATTTCAATAAGTGCAGTACAATACTTTACAAAGAATACTTAACTCAGTGCTCACTTAAGTGCTGTAAAAAGAGATGTGTCTTCAGTCTGCATTTGAAGACCGCGAGAGAGTCTGCTGTTCAGACAGCCAGAGGGAGTTCGTTCCACCACCTGGGTGCCAGGACAGAGAAAAGTCTTGATGCTTGTCTTCCACAGTCAAGCCAAGCTGTACTTGAAGCTAGACAGGGCTTGAGGTACAGTTTGAGTTTTGACCATTGCCATTGCATAGGGAGCAGCTGGTCCGTGTTTGGCTTCGTAGGCATCAGTGTTTTAAGTCTGATGCGTGCAGCTACAGGAAGACAGTGAAGGGAGTGCAGCAGTGGAGTGACGTGACTGAACTTAAGAAGATTGAAGACAAGCCATGCTGCTGCATTCTGGATGAGTTGCAGAGGCTTGATGGGCTGAATAGGAAGACCAGCCAAGAGCGAGTTGCAGTAGTTGAGCCTAAAGATGACAAGACACTAAACTAGCACCTGGGTGGCCTCTTGAGTGAGAAAGGGTCAGATCCTCCAAATGTTAAGATAAGATAAGAGCGACCCTCCAGATAGGACTTGAACCACTTCCACGCAAAGCCAGTGATTCCAAAGTTGGTGAGGACATCCAGAGGGATTGTATGGTTGAGCGTGTCAAAAGCTACTGAGAGGTCAAGAAGAATCAGAATAGATGACAGTTTGGCTGATCTTGCTGCCTGAGAAAGAGGGACAGTTGATTATAGACTGCATGTTCAAAAATTTTTCAAAGGAAAGAAAGAAGTGATACCAGTCTGTAGCTGTTGATGTCAGAGCTGTCAAGCATGGGCTTCTTCAGGATGGGAAGCACTCTTGCAGTCTTGAAAGTTGATGGAACTTGACCTGATGACAAGGAGTTGTTTATGAGAAGAGTGATGAAGGGCAGTAGATCCGTGGAGATTGACTGGAGAAAGGTGGATGGGACTCCACTGTTACACATCTTTCTCAGCTATAAAGTTGTCTATAGCTCTGTCAATCTTTCTGGACAAGAAAATGTAAAGTAGTAGCATAATGGAAATATCTTATACATGCACCTGCAACAAATGTCTTTTTATTAATGAAAACAGTGATCCCAAACTTTTCAACGGCAGAACATAACAGTAATTTTTTTTTCCTGGAACATACATGCATGTAGACATGCAGAGACATCAAACTAGACAAATACATCCAAACCAAGAGCCATTTAGGAACCTTTATTTTTAAGACTGTAATCTGTGGCCATAATAGATAATAGTCTGCCATAAAGACTGTAGCCATAATGGTCTGACTGGTATTTCTACTTTTTCTGTGTCTGCTTTTTCTCACTCAGGTACTTGCCAGTATGTGCCTAAACCAGGACAGCTCAGATACAATCATGTTTTTAAACCCTCCTGAAGTGCCGGAGTCAGCTTACCCCATTCAGGTCCAGTACTCATGTAAAGAACCTTCAATGGTCCACCTGCAGGGTTTGGTGTCTTTCGACTCTGGATCCACTTTAATGATCTTCCACAGATGGTGGCGCTGCGTGCCTGGCCCCCACAGGATCAGACTGGTATTACTTCATTTCCCTGACTGGCTGGTCTATCAACCAGACTGGAGCATACAAGTTTCCTCCTGGGTGCTAACATGTCTTTTACGAGGCTGGGTGAGCAAAAGTGCGGCTGCTGAACCTGACAGGTCATCTTTTGCCAGGACAATGGTGCCCCTGAATGTTCAGAGTCCACTCGGTCGCCCTTTCAAACAGCACCGGTTATGCCTCAGATGGGACACAGAGATGCATTGGAAAGTTTTCGGAGGTAGATGGCAGTGCCCAAAAGAAAATGGTGAGGATTGAAAAATCAGTTTTGGGATGTATTTGATCACTGTCACTGCTTTTGCAAAGCACCTTCCAGATCTATTAGAACTGGCAGGATGATTCATCTTTATTTAACATCTGGCTGACTGATGCTAAGCATCATGCTTGGAAAGTTGCAAAAAGCAATTTTGTTGAACAGAATTCTATGACAATCTGTTTCATTCAGGAGAAAATGCACTGAATGTGTGAATAAGATGTCGATTTTGATTTCTTTAGAGGTCGCCACTCTGCTGTCCTCATTATATGGATCCACTGGGGAGCATTTTGGCATCACTAAAACTCTGCAGCCTTACAGAAATGAAATGCTAGAAGGCCTGCGGCTCAAAGCAATCTCATATCCTTGGTAATTCATAGAGGTTTTTGTTTTTTAGTGACCTCTTGTGGGGTAAAAAGATGCTACAACAATTGAAAGCTGCACAATCTGAAGCATTGATGTCTTTTTTCCCTCAGGTGTGCCTTCTCAATGTGGGTATTATTAGAAGAACCATGCAGAGACCATCTGTGTGGACTTTTACACCATGTAGACTCTCAAAAGGAATATGCCACACCCTCCTTGTTCCTCACAAGATCAGGTAATAGATTCCTTATTTTAATTGAATGTGAGTGGGCTGTTACCATCACTTAAACTTGATTATTCGGTCTAAAAACAAACAAAGTCTTTTAAAAATTTAGAGTCTAGAGCAGGGTTAACCAGTTCCCATCCTAGAGGGGTGATGTGATGTGTCCAACACAGTTTGGAGATTTTCCAACTCAAACACACCACTTGATCAGCAGGTTTAGCAAGTGTGTTTGGGCAGAGAGAATGACCAAACTGTGCTGGGCAATTTGGACAGCTAGAGGAACTGACAATGTTTTATTGGAAGTTTGCATGATAATAATGCATATTGTCGCTATCATAATGAAACATTGTATCTCCGAAGTGAAAACTTCACAGGAGGAGCAGAAAATGTCCTTAACTTTTATTGTAACAAGTGTTTATTCCAAGTAATTTTGTTCCATTTCCATCAGTCCACAAAATGTTTACACAATGTGGAAGACAGCTGGCATGTGCAGATTTTGATATGATATCAACAGTATTTTAAACTCTTCTTTGGGATCTCTTACAGTAAGTAACATATATCATTTACAGGTCTGCTCATAGGTTTACGTACCCCTGGCTGAATTCATAAAGCTATTTACCTTTTTTTTAATAAGAGTGATCATACAAAACACTCATTTATATAGTGAAAATGCTCACTCTTCTTGGCAAAAAAGCCTCCAGGTCCTGTAAACTTCTTAGTTGCCTTGCTTTTGCATGCTTCAGTTTTCCCTAAAATGTGATGTTTAGGTCCAGGGACTGCAAGAGCCACTCCAGAGCCTTCACTTCATTTCCGGATGAAGCTTGTAGATGTAACTTGGCGCCCCATCCGCAGCTTCTGGGCTGATGCATGCAAACTCTGCTCCAAGATTTTTTGATAATCTGCTGTGTTCATCTTGCCATCAAATGTGACCTAATTTCTTGTGTCAGTGTATCTGACAAACCTTTAGAGGAGCAGAGGTCCATCTCTGTGCCTTGTGGTAGGCATGGTGTGTTTCTTTTCATGGACCTTGGGTTTCTTTTCGTTTGCTCCTTCTCCAAACATTCTTATGGTAGTGACCAGTCATCACTCCAAATGACTTCATTCCTGAAGTCTTGATGTTTCTCTAGATCAGTGGTCAACAACCTGGTCTAGTTCCAACTGCAATCTGCTTCACCTGCTCCAGGTAATTCTGAAATTCTCGATTGGTTGGATCTGATGCATAAGTGGTTGCTAGGGGGAGAGGCAGCATGTTAAATGCAAGTTGGAACTAAACTCTATAGGAGAGTAGGTCTTCAGGAAGAGGATTGCTGACCACTGCACTAGATGCTGTTTGGTATATTGCAAGTTGGCTGTTTGTGTGGGTGAAAAAATGCCTTTTTAGCAGCCAATTTTTGTTTAAGTGTGTTTTTATTGTACATTCTGAAGTGACCCCATCACTTTGTTTCAGAGAAGCCTGTATTTGAGCAGAGGTTGCTTTTGGGTTTTTCTTTGTATCTCGCACAATTTTCCTGGCAGTTGTTCAGAAATCTCTCTGGCTCTGTCTGATTTTGGCTTGGTAGCCACAGAACCACTGTTTTTCACTTCTTTATCAGGCTTTGTTTAGTACTCTTTTGCTTTCCTCATATTTTAGTGCGGGAATGTGATGCATTTAGTGGAGCAGATTCTTAACCTTAACAGTGATCTCAATGAACATACAAGGAGGTGCAAACTTTTGACTGTGCAACATCTATGGTTAATATAATACATGCAACATTGTGTGATGATAAATTCCTTCATCTAAGCACAACTCGTAAAATTAATATCTTTGGTAAATATCTTACAATCTTAAAATTCAGCCAGGAGTATGTAAACTTATGTGCAGAACTGTATATGCAATTTTGCCTCATAGCCTTTTTTGATTTACTCAAAATGTTCTGTTGTCAACAGTGACAGTGACAGATTTTTTCATGTACAGCCTATATATTCATCAAGGATACTCTTGGTTGTTTATTGTGTAGGTCAGATCCACGTGCAGCTGCAGGGGGAGAATGGCCTTTCCTCAGCGTTTCTCTCTCAGTTCACTGTGCCTTTAGGCTTGTGGTGCCTTATCAGTCTGGAGCTGAAGGGCAGAATGGTCAGAACTGATATCATTGGCATGTGTAAAATGAACTGTATATGTAGTGAATGTTTAGTTGATGGTAGAATGTAATATCTGTAGTGATATCTTTGTTTTTTATTTGTCATAGGGGAATATCACAGTGGCATGCACTGATGGACATAAAGATCCACTCGTTTACTCCTCAGAGCACATGTAAGATTTTGTATTTTATGTCTGTCTTATGAGCGAACAGGTCTTTACTTCATGTACCATTCAAAGCATCTGGTCTTTTGAACAGATTTAGTATAGCAGTGAAGTTGGATGATACAGATGGCTACTTTGTGGTTGGTGGAGGTAAATTCATAAAAGGAATTAAAGGGTTTTATGGACCCACCATGTATTACCGATCAAGGATTCCTTCACTGAACCTGGTAAGATGACATTTTGTGTACCTTTTGGTATTAACATTTGTATTAAAAACAGTTGTGTAACTACAAGCAGCACAGACAAGGCAACTCTAACATTTATCAGATTCCTTTATTTAGACCCATGACTTGTGCATAGCTACTATAACTCAATAATATAGTCTAACCATCAGCCTACATTAGGGCAACAGCTTAGTTACATAGCTTTAGTAAATAAATAAGCAACGTGCATAGTAATTTTTTATCTATTCATTGAAGTTTTTGTATGGGGAGCCCATAGGATCCTAGCTATGCTGCTGTTAAAGGGTAACAGATTATTTTATACTTTCTGCATAATTCAACTGTTAGCATGTAAATAAATTGTTCAAACTCATAGTTTGCTGTGAGTTGTTACATTGTAGAGCGACTTGCCAACGTATTTACATTGGAGGACATAGGTACCGGAAGTTGCAGTCTCTATAACATATCCAAAATGTCCAGTGAATCTACACGTTTTCTGAGTTTTATATGTAATGTTAATAATGGTAAAATAGCAGGAAAGTTTTCTTTGGTATAAACCCATATATATATATATATATATATATATATATAAAATGTCAAGCATTGTCAGCGGGAATTGTATTTATAGCTTTCTGAGGTATTAAACGCTTTAGATGTCTGGTTACTTGCATCAAACCACATGCAATTTCCTGCTCTATTTTTTAAATATATTTATTCATTTTTATACAGCCAGATCTCCAGGTTCCCCAACTAGTAAGAATGGTGAATGTATCTGGATGGATCCAGACCTGCAAGGAGTTTAAATTAAAAGTTGATCACAAAATAGCTGACTCTTGCAGTGCAGTGACTGCAAAGAGACCAGGTAAGTCTCTCTGTGTCCACAAGATGGCATGCTTTCCTGCAAACCTGGAACTGGTCAAGATATCTACTTTCCCCATTGTGGTCATTTCTGTTTCTTTTTTTCAGATAATTCTATTGATGTATACACAGAGCTGATACTAAAAAATAATCCAGGATCCACAAGGGCAGAATGCAGCTCTTCTGAAACCTTCAGCAAACCTCTGAGACGTATGGTGGCTCAGGTGATCAAGATCCTCTGCGATAAATACGGTAAGGGTCACCCAAAATAAAAAGTGCATGTGACTGAATGATTAAACTGTAAATTGGTTGAAATGACTGGCTGAAATCACTGTGTCCACTCGTCCATGTGTTTAGGCACAGTTGATCCAGCAGCTGTTGGCCGGGCTCTGTATGCTGCTGTCCTGCGTAAGCTGATCAGGCATGGCAGTGTGGAGGTGATAAACAGGCTGATGGCTCCTCTTTTACAAGCAGGATGCTTAGGAGACAACCGAGCTCTTCATCTCTCCTCTGTTTTCCACAGCAGTGGACTTGTTAAAAAGCAGCCCTATAAGGTGTGTAGTCGTTTGTGAAAGTGTGGGCACCTAGGGTCGAATTATGTTTTGTTTGGATTTTGTAAGTGAAAAGTTAACACATCCTTTACAGAGAACACACTTCTGAACTTTAATGCACAATTACTGCTTATTTGATTAATTTAATAAATTGGGGAAAAAATAAAATGTAAAATATAGCCAGTGCAAAGGTTCTAGCATATTAGTATGTTAAATTCAGCAAATAAATAGAAGGCAAGGCAAGGTATGTGGATTTATATGGTACCTTTCATACACTGCTGTCATTCAAAGTGCTTTACAGAAAAGAAAATATGAAGTCATTTAAAAAGTAACATAAAGCAAAGGAGAATAGAAATTAAAAACTTTATTAAAACATGATTTAAACAAGAGACTTTAAAAGAGAAAAAACATTCAATTAAAAATCATATAAAAATAATTAGGATGATTAAAATCAGATTTAAAGATAGAAACTGTGATCAAAGTGCCATATGTAAGTCTGTTCCATATGGAGGATGTATTGGCTTATTTTCACGCTGACAATCAATTAAACATGTAGTTTTCAAACTTGTAAAGACCCAGAACTGAAAAGGCCGAGTTTCAGTTATCAGTTACCATGTCTTCTGTCTGTGTAACTTTAGGCATGGCAGCTGTCATTGTTGGCAGCTCAGAAAGACTGTAGGCTGGCTCTCCTCCGTCTTGGAAACCTGCACCATGTTGGTGACCAGGGTGTGCCCCCAGACCATGACCTCTCCTACGCCTATTACTCCAACATCGCTAAGCAAACTTCATCGGATCGTCTCAGTCCCTCCTCAAAACAGGTACTTGGGTGCAATATGGTATTTAGCTCTGAGCAATCTAGAGTTTTTATTGTTGCTTTGCTATACATTTGATTAGGATTACATAATTACTTAATGTAATTACACAGTTATGTAATAATTACATGTTTGTAATGAATTTACTTAAATTACATTCTCTATTGACAGGTTTGAGTCTGCATTTCCAGCCTTTCTCTTGATGTTTTGATCTCAAAAAAATGTTAGACACATGCCAAAAACAAGTGATCCTAACATTTGAACTTTCATAAGTTTAGAATCTGCACTTTTGACCAAATTTGTCCACTTGTGTTGGACAGTAAGTAAAAATAAAATCACACCATGCTTTTGGACTCGCTGGTGATGACAGATTTTTGAGGGTAATGTTGCTGTCACTGCTGTTTTTAAGAGCCGAATCAGTCATTCAGCACAGACTGTACAAAAGTTTGCAGAAACACCAACAGCAGTGTAAATATGTCACTTGGCAGCCAACTGAGCACATACTGAAGAGGACATCTGGCTCTAAGAGTTATATGACAAACATCGCTGGTGTAACTTAATTAAATGTTTTCTGTGTTGTAGACATTTGTTGAGTCAATATTCCTGAACGATGAGGACACGCTAAAGGCCCAAACCAATGAGAATGATGATATTTTTCACTGGCTTAAACTACAGGCACGCAACGGGGTAGCAGACGCTGAGGTAAAGAATGTCAGCACAGCACACCCTGCAGGTGACAAATTTACCCAGAAAATTTCCTTCAAGAATCTTTCCTGCAAGTTTGTGCTTGTGTCTTTTTAAATGTTTGGCTCTTCAGCAAGCGATAGCCCGGATGCTGTTCTGGGGGCAGCAGGGTGTAACTTCAGATATCCAGACAGCTGTGAGGCACTACGAGAGAGGGGCTACCAGACTGCAGAACCCTGTGTCCATGTACGACTATGCCATCGTCCTGCTCACGGTTCGAATCTCTGTTCTGCTGCAAAGAGTGGTTTAACCAAATATGCAAACATGGCTAATAATGAATGGTAGTTGGTAGCCACCAGTTAGTTGTTTGTTCACTTTTATTCACTGTTAGCAAAATTAGCATTTCTGGGCCTTAATTTCAGGGTCAAGGAGTTCCTCAAGATGTGCCAAAAGCAGTCACCTTCTTGAAAAAAGCAATGGAGCAGGTACAAGTCCATAAGCTATAAACATTCCTTTGTTTTAGTATTGAATCATCCATGTCATAAAAAAAGCTTCAGATTTCCATAATTTTGGACCATTTGCCCTATTCACCATGAAATGTTCATAGAACATGAGGGTCAGCTGATGTTTTCAGTTGGGAAAAAAATGTTTTTTTCTCCAGCAGCAACATTTATGCAAACAATATGTTTCCTTATGAATTAAGGTAGTGGACACCAGCCCTCCTGCTGGAGATCTCCTTTCCTGCAGAGTTTAGTTACATCTAATATGCTGATGCTGCCCTTCCCTCACTTAACATAATGCACTGATCCAGCCAGTCAAGAACTTCAGAAGTTGTTAATTTGCTGAAGCAAGTGTGGCAGATTGTGGTAAGGTAGGAAGGTAGATCTCCAGGACCACCGTTGGTGACCAATTTAAGTTAACAGCCATTACCTCATCTTACATTCATTTATTTTTTATTTTCATTTATTTTAACCAAAAACATTACTTATTTCTCATTTCTTCATAAACTTATGCATAATTCTTAGTTGTGATACTATGCTATGAAGCCCATATTGATAGTAGTAGGCTGTGAAATGCTTAAAGACTATTGAGCTGTTGACTGAATCAGCTGTGCTTCATCACCGCAGGGCTTTGCTCCAGCCATCACAGCTTTGGGCTGGTACTATGAGCAGTTTGAGAGGAACTATGAGCGAGCAGCAGAGCTTTGGGAACAGGCTGACCTCCTGGGGAATCCTGATGCTGCCATGAATTTAGGAGTACTTCACTCGCAAGGCCTCTATCCTGGACAACCAGTTGACAAAGTGTGTGCAAACAGATGTTACTGGTGTTTATTTATCTACATATTTACTCATTTGCCTTTCTTTATTAATTTAAGGTGGTAACAGTAACATTAGTGTTTAGCATTATATCTGATGTATCAGCTTCCCCTAAACAGACAGTTCTTGTTTTTATCATTTATAGAGTGTGATTTTGATAATTAGATATATCTCAAGATGTTATCTAAGATTTGGAAAAGAACATATCAGACAGCATTTATCTTTCTCCTAAGCTCTTCAAAACCACTTTGAATTAGTGCATTTTGTATTATGTAGTTTTTGTCTTATAAAGCACAAGAATACTTTGCAAATTTAAGTTTTTAGATTTTAATACTGTCTTTACTTTGTTCTGTCTCCAGGTTAAGGCTTATAAGTACTTCCTGAAGTCAGCCCAGAGAGGCCACTTAAATGGAGGCATTGAACTGGCTGAAATTTGGAGTCGGGGGATTCCTGGTTATGTGGCGCGGCATCCATCAAGTGCTGTTCTGTAAGTTGGACTTCAGCTGTGCTTAGCCTTATTAATACTGTGAAACATTTTCCCTTAATGGAAGTTTAGAGAATGGTTCACCAAAAATTTTCCTCCTTAATCCAAGTGTAATCTTTCAGTTTTGCACTGGATCTACAAAGGTAATGCAGTTAAAAAATAATGGAAGTCTGTTGTCACTCAAATTTTTGGTGAAAAAACTTTTATTATACTAGCCTAGTAGCTTCAGTGCAGTACTAAAGCAAAATTGTCACCAAACATAACTTGGCTAATTGACTACATTTGAGATAAGGGAAACTTTATGTAAATTGCATTTTTCATTAATCCATTCCTTTAAAATCCTATATCTTGGTAATGTGCATATTTTGTCATTGGATTTAGGTGGGCTAAATGGGCATCTGAGCAGAATGGATATCTTGGCACAGTCTTAAGGAAAGGCCTGAATGCCTATCTTAAAGGGAACTGGTAAACACAACCTTTTTTTAAATAAATTTGCACTTTATATTAGCACTGTTTGACTAGCTAAGTTGTTGGTGAAGTCATTTAGATTTTTCTTTCACAGGTTCATGGCAATGATATATTACCTGATGTCCGCTGAGTGTGGATTTGCAGCAGCTCAGTTTAACATGGCATTCTTGTGTGAGCACAATGAGGTGAGTCAGTCTTTTGCCTAATCATGAAAGTCATGTTACCTATTTGATCATTTTAAGTTAGTATAAGTTGTTCAGTGTTTGTGTCAGAATGTTTGCTTTGATTGTAGAGAAAGGTTGTTAGCATATACATAGACCTTCTAGATGATGTCACTGCTTGTTGAGCTACAGAATATGGTAAAAATGATGTCTGCATGTGTCTTCTGCTCCACTCTGTCAGGGAGGATCCTTGAATCCAGCATTTGTGACACAGTGTATGTTACGATACTACAACCTTTCTATTCAGAGCCAGTATCCTGCTTCTTATGGTAATTCATTATGTTTCTTCAGTTTTACATGCAAAGAGAGACCATGTCCAGTTAAATATTTAATGTGACATTTACTGCCCTGCATTTTATGCTCTCTGTGTGGCCTCCGGAGTTGAATAAAGTTCACAAGTTTGCTGTAATAATGAAGGAGGGGAAAAAATAACTGCTAAGGTTTAGTGAAATGAGCTGAATTTTCCTCTGTTGTGAATGGGACTTGACTGTCTGTTGCCTGCATAAAGGAGGAATGAATCCCTCGTCACTCTCAATCATGTGATCGCATTGCCGGAAATATTTTTACAGGGTAGCTCTCGTTTCATGAATTGTCTCTGCTAGTAAATATGACTTCAATCTGTCTGGGAGTTTTATGGAAGATGCCCACCACACACAAAATTAAGAAAGAAAGTCTAAAGAAAATATATTCTGTTTTTGAATTGCTGTATAATAAACTACATAGACCAGGCAGAAGACCATCGGGTATATATATATTTTTCACATTCACTGCAAGTTTATCGTTTTTACTGGTAGAAGAGGATAAAGGTTGTGTTATGTCACATTTCGGTAACACGTGTCATCTTCTTTGAGTGAGTGTAATTTTAAGTGGGAAAATTCATATTTCTCATTTTCCAACACCACTCAAACACAGCATTACTGACTGTCATAATGCAACCAAGAGCAGAATTTAAAAAACACAGTGTTGTTTGCTGAATTTAACATATTGGAAAAAGAATAAAACATCAGTTGTGGCCTGTGCAAACGTTAGAGCACATTTTATATTTGATGTTTTGTTTTATTTAACATGTTAAACTCTATAAATAAATATAAAATTGTGCACTCAAATTTTCAGACAAATGCCACGCTTAAGTTTTTATGTAGAGGGTTTGTCTTTATTTTCACTTAGAAAATCAACAAAATGTAACATGAACAGGGGTGTTCATACTTTTGCGTATGACTGTAAATTGTATTTAATATGACTACTTTTGTTTATGATGTACTACTCTCTTTTTCTATTATGGTCAGCTTTGGTGAAAATGGGTGACCTGTTCTATGAGGAGCACACTCGGGGCAAAAGAGACCTTTCTGATGCGGCTGAGATGTACAAAGAAGCAGCACTCAGAAACGACCCACAGGTAACACACACTAGGACTGTGAGGCTGCAGATCGAATTATTATTTAGTATTTATTTGTACTATTTATTTTTTTAATTGTATACTGGATTAAGTGACTGTATGATCATGATCATTTGCCAACCTGACTTATTTTAGTGGCCAACTAAATACAGCCTTAAAGGTCCTGTAGTCGTCTTAACTTGTTAGGATTCTTCCATGCATCAGTTTCTGATTATGGATGCTCTTGTTCATATTTCATGCAGGGCTGGTACAGTTTGGGTCTGCTTGTTCAGGAAGGGGAGAGATTAACTGCCACTCTACTCTCTGAACTGAATTTACTGCAACATTATTTTTCAGATAAGCTCACACTTCTTACCACTCTGTACCAAAGGTATGCTAGCCGTACATGCTTACCATGCTTTTTGAGCTGTGAAATAAGGTGAATCAGCACTGCTTGGAACATTAATTTATGGCTCTTCTTGTTTTTTCCCTATAGATGTCGAGACTCCAACAGTGATGAGGCACACCTTCCCTGTACTCTTGCTCTGCTCACTTCACATTTACAGTCTATACAAACACTTGGACGTTCTACTGTAAAGGTTTGTATGTTTCCAACCTGCTGTTTTCAGTGACTTTATGTAGACATTATGTGTAATTATTTGGTCTTAGACTTATAGTGCGTTGATGATTGCATATCACGGCTGTTAAACCAAAGCCTCATTTGAATATGACAGCTGCATTTTGCATGTGAACATTTGATAATGAAGGGACTGATAGAAATGGTCCAAAATGACTTGTAATAAAATATTAGTACATTAACATACAGTCATATACAAAAGTTTGGGTGCCCCTGCTCAAATTACATTAATTTAAAAACACACATGCCCTACAGAGAACACACTTCTGCACAGTTCAGTGCACAATTACTGTTATTTGCTGAAATTACCATAATGAAAAATAAAAAATGATTTTTTTTTTTTTATTTGATGTGGTTTTTGGCTATGTTTTAAACTCAACCAATGCATATAAATTGTGCGCTAAAACATGCAGCAAAAATGCCATACTTAAGTGTGTTCTCTGTATAGAATGTGTTAAATTAGCTTCACTTAGAAAATCGACAAAATACATCATTGGAACAGGGGTGTTCAAACCTTTCCAAAAAACTGTACCTTTATGAACATTGTTAGTCTTTTTCTTCTCCTGTGAAGTTACCATTTTAGAGAAGGTTTTGTTAAAACAGTGATATTTGTGCTTTTGTTGAGAAACATCATTCAGAGTGGTTTGATATGAAATGCATCATTGTAGAGAAACTTACTGTGTCAGATTTCTTTAAAGTGGTATTGATAGGAACCAGAGATCACTACGTCTACAACACAAATGCATTTTACTTTTCCTTACAACACTGTACCTGTACCCGTCGTCCATGAAGAATTTTTAAAAATAAGTTTTAAGCTAAAACTGTCTCAACACTATGATAAAACAATGTCTGAGGCATCAGGCAACATATTTGTACCCATTTGAGGTAATAACTTGCATTAAATTACATAACTCTAGGTGAGGCTTTTAGTGGCAGAAGTTTATTTAGACCAGAGCATTTTACGTCAAACCACTGAATGTTTAGATCTCAACAATGTAATAATGCAGAAATGTAGAAAAATATGTGAATTTCCCTTTTAAGCAGCTGCTTTTATCTTCTTTTTTTCTTCTTCTTTTGCAACTGATTAATTTTTCTTCATTCTGGCTTTTTTGTTGCTACAGCTCCTGAGTGCTGTGGCAGTTGCTGTTGCTACTCTGTCCTTTTTCAGAATCATCCCTGCCATACTCCGCCAGAGGTCAGTGTCCGGTCAGCAGAACTCAGCGCCCTCCGATGCCAGCCAGCCAACAGAGCAGGAAGAGTCTTCAGAAGTGTGAGCAGCTCTTTAGTGTTTATGCTCACTGGTTTGTTAGCAGGTTTATGATGAGATTCCCAAAGGATGTCAGGATTTCATTACTTGAAAGATACGCTCAGTATATTTAGGAGTTGTGTGTATTTTTTAATGATTACTTAGGTTGCGTTGACTCAGCTGGACAAGCTGAACAGTCTTTAAAATTAAAAAGTTTTAAACTAGAAATGGACTTTGCTTCTTATTTTTCACTTCCATTTTAGTAGTACATCCTGAGTAGAGTAGCACATTAATATACAAAACACAGCACTAAAATAAACTCTTAATAGTAGTTTAACTACTTAAATGTACACAAGCGAATGTGTCAGTTGGTTAAGTTCTGTTTTGGTGCTAATTGAAGCAGATGAAAAACAGATGGTTTGTTAGTTGTATTTGAAAAGTAATGAGACTCTAAGGAGAAAGCACAGAGTTGCATTATAACTGCTTATGGACCCAGAAGCAAAACAAAGAAAGAACATGCCACTTACTTTCATACATGAACTATCTTTTTTTTTTTTTAACTGGGATCCAGGCCCATAGCTTCTTGTCCCTGCTTGTGAACGTATGGTGGCTCTGTGGGAAGTGTGGTGGAAGTATAGTGGCCCTGTAGAGCTACTGTGTTTCTGTGTGGCTGTAAGGAGTGGCGGCATGCTCTCGGGGGACGACTGCACTGACGGACACCAGCAGCAGGCGTGTTCTGCCGAGTCACACCAGGACATGGAGAACACACAGCGCAGCTAATTAAAACCCAGCTGAACTGCTGATTAATAGGGAGAGAGTATTTCATCCTGCCTTTATGTGGGTGGGTGAATTGTCTGGGGGACTTTGGCTAGTGAAGAACTGCTTGTGATTAAAGTGATTAGGCACTTGCTGTGAAACTTGGAATCAGTTGTAATGGTACCTTTTTGTGCTAACAATGGAGCGTTTCAGGCAGGTTTTATGAGGAAGAAGTTAAAAGGTGTGGATATACTGCTCTCACTAAAACCTGAAACTGCAGACAGAAAAGCTTTTAATCCCAAAGCATTCCCCAACCAAAAGAACAGAGTACATCTCCATGTTTTTCCCAGCCTGACCATCATGTCTCTCTACTTTTAATCAGTTACTTCATCTGGCATTAGTATGGCATGATTAGGGTTGTCCTGATCTGATGTCATCATAGTTTAATGGAACCATTATCGGCTATATTGAGCTCAATCCCATTTCTATCCTCTATGAACGCTAAAAAAATGTTATTTCACAATTTATATTTAATCCAAACAATGGAAGTTCAGTATACCCTAATGCATATATCAAATGAACTGATTTTACTAGGTGTGTCAACAGTATCGGCAGATAAATGGCATTTTTCTACATTTCATAAATGTTTATTTAATGGAATCGGCAGATATGTGCATGAAAAATTCCCATATCAGTGCATCCCCAAGTTTTACTCAACATTTTTAGGGACAAAACAGTCATAAAAAAGCCAAAAAAAGGATATCATGAATAACTTCAATAGGTTTACTAACACTCATGTACTGTAACGTTAGGAAAAAGCAGTTATTTAAAAGTAAGTAAAATCAAACCTGAAACCTGGTGGAGACGGAAGAATGACCTAATATAATACAAAAGTCACCAAAAGACCAAATGTGCAATGTATGGCTACATTATTCACATACATATCAAAACTGGATCAGCCCGATACTCAATATTAGACTCTGATAGCATCAGGGTAAAAAATCTCAACAGGGACACCCCTAAACATGATTATTGATAAGGTAAATCAGGAATATTGGATGCTGCACACCTAAAAATACAAAGCTTTACCATGCCCACATTAATATAATAATGTCAGGACTTAAAGAAACTGCTATGTCACTTTACTTATCGCTTATTGTCTTATTATTGGTGTGACACACTGGGGACAGTGCCTACTCTAAAACTGCCCCTCCTTGTTTCTGCACTTTGCCCTCTTTCCTTACTTCTTTTCCTTCTTTGTGGTGCATTATAACCTGCAGCCCAGCTCCTCGGCCTCTGGAAGCCTCCCTCTTATCAAAATTGTGGAAGTTGTTCATCGCCCCCATGATGTAGTTGCTGAGAATGGCGCTGCTCTCTAGCTCTGGGCTGGTTGTGCTGCATCTGTGCTGCAGCTTCTCATAGACCTTCTTCATCTCTGAATCCAGTCTTCCCACCACGTTATTCAGTTCTGTGATCCTGTACCCTACATCTGAGTATTACACAGTCAGTATGAAAGCTTATAACCAGTAGAGTACAGTCATATACAGTACTGTGCAAAAGTCAGAAACCAGTGGAAATGGCCATTAAGTACAAATTATTAATTTTTCAGGATATATTTGTGGAGAGATTAGGTATGAAATGATCCACTTGCATAAGGAAGGGAAGAATTAAAGGAAAAAGTTAAAAGCTAAAAGTTTTCAAAGCTGGCATTAGGGGTTTAAAGAAAATGAGATTCTTAACATCACTGGAAGACCTGGTAGACAACCAAAACTGTCCCCATCAGATAAACAGTACTTAAAGCTCTCATCATTGAGGAATAGGAAAAAAGCTTAACACTTGCTTCATGTCTGAAGATAACTTTAAGTTGGATTGTGAGAAGCAGAAAATACAACCAACTTCTAAGACTTATATTGGTGGTGTGAACCTGTAATGAATGGAAAGCATGTAAATTTAAATGTAAAGGTAAACTTCTTGAAGCTTCTGTGTAATTATGTGATGGCCATTTTGACTAAAAATAAATGAAGGGTGGTCTCTGACTTTTGCGCAGTAGCGTATGAAAAGCAATTTGACTATAAAACCTATGACCTACCATTGTTTTTAGTCTCTTCAAACTCGCGGCGTGCTGCTCCAATATAACGCTGCACTAAAGCCTTGATCACCTGCAGACGATATGGCACTCTGCCTTCCCCCTGCCCTTCGCTCTGGTTCAGAGTGCTGCCAGACTGATCACAGCAAAAACTCATTAACCTTGAATAGTGAAATTTTTAAAATGGATCGTAGGACTTAACTCTTACCACAGATGTGACTGGAGGGTGGTCGGGGCTACCCAAAGTGTGTCTTCGGAAAACACTCCTACATAAACACACAGAAAGATTATCACTAGTGTATCTCATTGCATATAATAGAGATACATACTGAGAGAATAAAATTGAGATACATACATGAGATGACAAAAAAACATGAAATCAAACGTGTCTGAACAACAGAAGAAAAGTTAAAAAGGATGAGAAAGAGAGAGAGAGAGAGAGGGGGGGGGGATGGAGAGAGAGAGAGGGGGGGAGAGGGAGAGAGAGGGACAGAGAGAGAGAGAGAGAGGGAGAGAGAGATGGGGAGAGAGAGAGAGAGAGAGAGAGATGGGGAGAGAGAGAGAGAGGGAGAGAGAGATGGAGAGAGAGGGGGAGGAGGGAGAGAGAGAGGGACAGAGAGAGAGAGAGAGATGGGGAGAGAGAGATGGAGAGAGTGGGGGGAGAGAGGGAGAGAGAGAGAGGAGGGGAGAGAGAGAAAGAGGGATAGAGAGATGGGTAGAGAGAGGGGGGGAGAGGGGGGAGAGAGAGGGACAGAGAGAGAGAGAGATAGGGAGAGGGAGAGAGAGAGAGAGAGGGGGGGAGAGAGGGAGAGAGAGGGAGAGAGAGGGACACATTGTCACTGTCATTGCAAGAATCTAAAACTAAGACATTCTTTCTTACATGTAGGAAAACATACCTGCCCCATTAATGTTGTTCATTGAATTTGCCTACCTCATTGCATGTAATAATGTCTTGTGTGAAGGAATGATATTGAAAGGAACGGGCATCGTGAGGCCCTCTCTGAAATAACTGAGGTAGAGCTTTGAACGAGCAAACTTCCATTCAACATCGGCATCATTCTGGAAAAAGCAGGAACATTCTTCATGTAAGAGCAGTGAGAAATTGTCATTTTCTACAGAAACACTACAGCAGGCCTGCCTTCATGGTGGTGTTGACATTTCATGTAATTATAAGGTGAGAATTCAAGCATCTCACCTCAATCTTCTGAAATGAATTAGTTATCATAGCAACGAGCATGTTCAGCAGGACAATGACGATGATCAGGGTGAAAATCCCATACAGTGCTGTACCCACAAACCCAGCTAGAACATAGTCTGGCATGTCCACATAGTCCTGTTTGGACACCCCGAACATAGTCCAGAAGAGAAAGTTAAAAGTCTCATTGAGCCTGGTGTCGAGAGAGACATACGGAAGATGATTAGTTTTTGCTGCATAACCAGTTTAAATGTTGTCTCGAGGAACTATAAAACCTCTCATACCTGCCAAGGTGTGAAGACATTACATACGGAACATATATGTTGTTAATCCCGCACAGAAAAGCAGTTCCAATGATCATCAGGATAAACAGGAACCTGTAAGAATAAAATTTAAAAAATTGAATTTGCATCTACCGTCAGTAATAAATTAATCAACAGTTACATTCCATGTCCAGAAGTTTGAAGACTCTTGCTCATTCACATTTTCTTCTAAAATTAAAGGTTTTAAAGGCTTGCTGCAGTAACAGCCTGTAGTGTTCTGGGAACGGTGGAACATTGCTGAGAGGATTTGACTGCATTCAGCCACAAGAGCATTAATGAGGTCAGATACTGATGTTGGATGATGAGTTCTGGAACAAAAGTGCCACTCTAGCACATCCCAGGTCTACTGCTCCACAGCCCAAGGCTGGAGGGCTTTATACCGCCCTAGCTGACGCTGCTCATTGGGCATGTTGAACTTAGGCTCATGTACTGCTGCTTCAGAGCATCCCATTCTAATGGTAGTGCTTTTCTATGGAGATCATACAAGCTGTGTGTGCAACTGAACACCTATGTCAGCAATCGTTGTACTATAAAGTAGTGAATTCACTAATTATAATGGTTGAGTGGGACTTTTGGACATACAGTGTATGTTTTTAGATCCATTTCTAAAGATCTCACCTCATCATATCATCAATCATTTTCCCAATGGATATCTGTAGGGTTCCCAGGGATTCATGGGCTGGTAAGATGTAGGCTAAACGTGTGAAGCTTAGCATACTCGTCACAGCAAAGAGAACTTCAGCAATCAGCTGGGGGTCTTCCTGTCTCCAGTTTTCTCGTGCTGCTCGTAATTTGAAAAAACACACACATACAT